ATGTGAAATCTCTCCCAAATCTCTCCAAGTATGTGAAATCTCTCCAAAATCTCTCCAAATATGTGAAATCTCTCCAAGTATGTGAAATCTCTCCCAAATCTCTCCAAGTATGTGAAATCTCAATCGAAAACAGCCCAAAAGGACCCTCTTGGTCCGGAACCCTCTTAGGCCGGAACCCCCTTAGTCCGGACTACCCTCTTGCTTCGGAACACCCTTCTGACTCCGGAACATGTGGGGCAGATCGAAACTCCAACTGAACCGGACACAATTCGCTCCTGACCTCGGATCCGAGAAGGAAGCTTCAGACCTCGCCCAGCGCCTCCGGAATCCGCTGCTCACCCGCTTCGGAACCTCGTAGCCTAAGCCTCTCCTCCGGAAATTTGGCAGTAGCTCCGGAATGCTTAAAGGAGCTCCGGAAATTTTGTGGTGACTCCGGATTTCACCCTTTTACTCCAGATTTTTAGCAATTTCGGACTTTTTAGTGTTTTTAAGTGATTTTTGCTCCGGAAAATTCCTTAGACTTTTATTTTTATAATTTTAAACACTCCAAACTTATATTTTTATATATATAAGACCCTATATTATCATATTTTAAACCATATTTTGGGAAATGATCGTAAACCAAAGACAATATCTATTGGGTGAAATATTGTGTTAGAGTGTTGATTTCCCTTAGAGTGTGACACAAGCTATCCCCCATACCCACGTAGGGCAACCCCCAGTCACTATTCACCCCTACCTAGTCAACTATTTGTCATCTCACATCTCTCCTCCAGCTGGTAACTTGATCAAAAGTTGGAAACTCCCATTTCTCCTTCCACTTTACTCACACTCTCACCAAGAAACAAACACTTCTCTCTCATTTCCCTCTCTAAGAACTCGGGACTCCAAGGATGCCTTTGAACTTCTCACCTTCATTCAGTAAATATTCTCATCCTACATTGAACATTCTTTACTCATTCACTCAACTTATGAACCTCTCATAACCAATGCCACCATAATTGTTCTTAGATCTTCAACTCTCCAAGCTTCTATCAAGTGTTCTTGACTTAGAAACCCTTCCTCTTCAGCATACATCTAAGGAAATCACTCAAGGTGAGTTCATACCCCTACATTTTCATGTTTTCTTCAAGTTTTAGGGGGGGGGGGGGGAATACAAGTTAACACACCTTAACATTACTCGAACTCATGCTTCAGCTTTTCACAGAAAAGTTGAGTCCTATTCACGGACTGTTTTGACCAACTTAAACTCAATATATCTCAAAACTGTTTTATATGCAAGTATTTCAGGTGTATACCTTTCTAATGACTACTTGCACACCTCAATACGATTTTTCTACAATTTATGGTGAATTTTATAAAACTGCCTATCATTTCCGAAACGAATTCGGACCAGTCTGTGAATATGAACATTTTCACATAAGTTAGACACTTCTAAAAATCATACTGAAAATTATGAATAAACTAGACATTTTCTAAACTCTCAAAGTTTACGGATTCGGTTTTCGACTTCGTATGATTTTTCTATGATTTTTCTAAAGCAGTACAGAAAGGTTAAAAACTAGTTCACAGTTTACCATTTACATAACACTTTGTAACATGTTGAGCAAAGTGTTTGTCTTTGATAACTTTATAATTTACACATGTTTTCCGTTAAATTATGGTTAAATAGCATAAATTTACTTCCTAAATTGTAAGAGTCCTTTCACATTTCAAACATACAAGATAAAACATAAGAAGCATAGTTATGCATTCTAAGCATGCTACACGTAAACTCGTTAACGTAAGTTGTGAGACAATTCTCCAAATGTACTCTTAGAGTACGGGTTAAAATTCCTGCAAGTTATAACCAGAATCTCTCTTAGGGAGAGCGTGATAATTATGTATAGATCTATATTGGGATTGACACCCCACACCTTGCTGCTAGTTACAGCGGGACCTGCAGGTCTACGGGTGACAAAAGTCATAACAAATTTTAACGTCTGAAAAACGTTGTAACAGGTCATCCGGTTGTAGTATGGTTATAGCGACTCACATAGGGAGTTAACATCATTTAAAGTTTACCGGAGATACTACTTTAAAAAGGAAAATGGAAAGGAGTTTTATCTATATAAAACTGTATTCTTCGTTTAAATTACGAATACACACTCATGCATTTGGTCTTGGGAGTTAAGACTACATAATATTTGATAAGGAAAATATTGGATTTTTCTTGTGTGCACATTTCATTTTACAAATAAAGTTTTTCCAACACTTCACCCAAAAGCTTATGAACTCACCAACTTAATTGTTGACACTCTTTCAAAACTACTTGTATTCTCAGGAAACCCGTGAAACAGGTAATCAACTGCTTTTGAGGATGGGACGCCAGACGTCAAATTAAACATTTTTGTCATCATAATGTAATTGATTTTGAAACAAGTAATCTCATACTATGGTGTAACTTTTTCAATTATATTTATGATGGTTGTATTTACTATGAGCACTATTATACTCGTGATTGTGATACTATACATGAAGTCCTCCACCCCTGAACATTTCCACCATCCTTGGTTTGGGGGTGTGACATGGACCAATGTTATGGTCAATGTAGCAGCCCAATCTCAACCAGCCCAAAATCCTGAACAAACAAATGGCTCTAATGAAGAACCTGTGACGTCGTTAAACGATCCCCACGTTGACTATGATAACTCACAACTAGAAGACTCATCGCAATCCCCTGAAATCAGCTCGCGATTAACACCCCCAGTCGAGCATCGACAGTCCAAGAAGGAAGTGGGTCTGTAGCTTCGTATGATGACACACCACCTAGAGGACTTCACTCAATCAATGACGTTTATGAAAACATGACAAGACTGGAGGATGAGGAGATACGAGAATTGTATGAAAGCAATCAAGAGTTGTTGTTGGTTGATGATGAACCCACAACCTACAAAGAAGCATCAGGTGAAGAAGGGTGGAAAGAAGCCATGGAATCGGAGTTGAAGTCAATTGAGAAAAACAATACCTGGACTCTAACCAGGCTACCCCCAAATCGCAAGGCGATAGGGCTAAAATGGGTATTCAAGCTAAAAAGGAGTGCAGCTGGAGAAATACTCAAACACAAGGCTCGACTGGTCGCCAAGGGTTATGTTCAAGAAAGGGGTGTCGATTTTGACGAAGCATTTGCACCAGTAGCCAGGCTGGAGACGATAAGACTGATCCTCTCGGTAGCGACACAAGAAAATTGGCTTGTACATCACCTGGATGTCAAGTCAGCGTTCCTACACGGAGACCTTAAGGAGGAGGTTTACGTAACTCAGCCCACTGGATTCACGGTCAAAGGCAAGGAAGGCTGGGTGTATCGTCTTCACAAGGCCCTGTGTGGGTTACGATAGGCGCCAAGGGCATGGAACATAAAACTCGACCAATCACTCAAGTCACTTGGATTCACCAGATGTGTCCATGAGCAAGCCGTCTATAAGGTACATAAACCCAACTTGATTCTTATAGTGGGTGTATATGTAGATGACCTTATAGTCACTGGGTCAAGTGAGAAGGGAATCCAGGAGTTCAAGAATAAAATGAAATGTTTGTTTGACATGAGTGACCTGGGAGTGCTATCTTATTACCTGGGAATTGAAGTATCACAGGATAAGGATGGTATAATGCTCACACAGAAGGGGTATACTGAAAAGATCCTAAAGGTTTCGGGCATGGAAGGCTGCAATAGTTCTTAGTACCCAATGGAGCCAAAACTCCAGTTAACCAAAGATGAAGATGGTGAACCTGTGAATGCAACAATGTACAGGAAGCTTGTTGGATGTTTAAGGTACCTGGTCCACACAAGACCAGACCATAACTACAGTATTAGAGTGGTGAGCAAGTTTATGCAAAACCCCAAACAAAGCCATTATACTGCTATAAAACATATCCTGAGATATGTGAAGGGTACAACAGAGTATGGACTGATGTACCACAGGGGAGGTGACGGAAGATTTGTGGGTTACAGTCACAGCAGTTACAACAATGATTGTGAAGATAGAAGAGGAACCACTGGAATAGCTTTCTACTACTCAGGAAACCTCATAACATGGGCATCACGGAAACAGAAAACTGTGGCACTTAGCTCATGTGAAGCCGAGTATATGGCTGCAACTGCAGCTGCATGTCAAGGACTGTGGTTAAGGAACCTGTTCAGTAAGCTGATGGGAAAGAAAACACAGAAGGTGAAGCTGTTAATTGACAACCAATCCACCATAGCACTCATAAGAAATCCGGTGTCCCATGGCAGAAGCAAGCACATAGACACAAAGTTCCACTTTATTCGTATGTGTGTTGAAAGCGAACATATTCAAGTGGAGCATGTGAGTGGAGATCAACAGAAGGCTGATGTTCTGACAAAGGCAATGCCAAGGATAAAGTTTGCTGAGATGAGAGCACAAATTGGCATAGAAGATCTGAGGAAGAAGGGTCAACCTTGAGGGGGAGAAATGTTGGTCAAAGGTTGACCTGGTAATTAGGAAAGAATAAAACACATGGGCAGTCATGACCGTTAGCAAATGAACTGTTCCTAGTATTTCTCATTTTCTGTTAATTCTAGTAGTTTAAATAGAATAGCTTAGGAGTTACAACAATCAGTCGAAAATTCATTGTACAGCAATTCAATCATTTGGTTGCTACTCTTCATTCAATAAAGAAGTAATCATTCGACTGCCTATTTCCAGTTTTACCCCTGTTAATTCCTTGTTGTTTATTGTCCCATTGCTGATCACCAACACATATTTCCAAAGATTCAAAAACATACAATTTAAGAACATATTTCTAAAATCAATTTTATCTTCAAGTCTGTTCATGTTCACACCGGCTTATCTTATCTGCTAGTTATATATAGAATAAGTAATTTATATGAAAATATTTTAAAGAATAAAAGGGTGCTCAACAGAAAAGATAAGAGAAGTAGACAGATTTCAGAGTAAAAAACTCAGCCTAGGGTGCAAATGAGAATATACATGGTGCATTTATCGAGGCTCTAGATTGGTTACTGTAACTTCGTTGTTGGAGAATCTACTTGAGGCATGGGCACTTCTTTGTAATGTAAAAGCAGGCTTTTTGGGCGATGGAACAGTTGCGTTTTCATTTATCAACATGACAACCACTTCTGACATTGTTGGTCTGTCACTCATTATTTCTTGAATACATAGAAGTCCAACATTTATGCACTTTACTGCCTGTTGATCAGCATTGCTACAGGTGCCCCTGATTAAAGGATCAATCAACTCCAAACCTCTGCCTTCGATCCACCTTTTCCATGCCTAAAGATGATCCAAATTAAACTGAAGTTGTTTGCAAGTAGTTATCATGTAATAATTGAAAAAGAACACATCATATATACTTACCCATTCCAATATTGTAAGAAAGCCTTCGATGTAATTAGAAGTACTCCTTTTACCAGTCACAATCTCCAGCAGTAAGACCCCAAAACTAAATACATCGGATCTCTCAGAAAACCACCCGTGAAGTGCATATTCAGGTGCCATATATCCACTGCAATTAACAGAGCAAGGACATTAGTTAACACATCATCGTTAATTAGTTATCTGCTATATAACTAATTTAAGATGTAATTTTGCTGATGCATTGAATAACTTGTGGACTTACTAGGTACCAACAACTCTGTTGGTTTTGTCTTGAGTTTGGTTCATTCCAAAAATCCTTGCCAATCCAAAATCTGAAATTTTAGGAGTCATCATTTGATCCAGAAGAACATTGCTTGCTTTTAAGTCCCTATGGATAACTCTCAGTCTAGAATACTTGTGCAGATAAAGGAGTCCTTGAGCTATCCCTTCTATTATATTGAATCTATTGCTCCAATCAAGATTCAAACTCTCGGATGGATCTAGGGACGATAGATAAAAAAATATATATCATGCAACATGAAACAAATTAAATTTGAATACACCCTCAGAACATATGGGAAGGCAGAAAAGTGTACCAAATAGGAACTTGTCTAGGCTTCGATTAGGCATATACTCATACACGAGAATCTTTTCATCTTCTTCCACACAACATCCCAATAGCCTAACAAGATTCGTATGCTGAAGTTTTGCAATAATCCTCATCTCATTCATAAACTCCTCGCGTCCTTGTGATGATCTTGCTGATAGCCTTTTAACCGCCACTTCTATGTTTCCAGGCAAAGAACCCTGCAGTGTACCTTTTCTCATCTTAATTACAGATAAATTTTAAATTATATGCCATAAAGTAATAAATAATGATGTTGTGGGGACTAGCTAGCAAGGTATCATACCTTGTAAACAGAACCAAACCCACCCTCTCCAAGCTTGTTTTCCACTGAAAAGGAACCTGTTGCTTCGACTACACTCCTTAAGCTAAACGATACAAGCTCTACGCTGTTATGTGCATCTCCAATGGATGTGCTCATAGAATCATATCCAAGTAATTCCCTCCTTATTCTCTCTGCATGGCATAAGCCACAACTGTCAACTGGTAATCTTGAAAATGAATTGATTTAAGAAATCTTGACTTTATTTAACTTCTAACCTTCCTTTATCATCCTTCTCCTTCGCCTTGTCAAGAAGTAACCAAAAATGCTGATTAGAAGCAGTCCTACAGAAACAATGGCAACTGCAACTGCAACTTCATTCCTGATTTTCTTTTTGTGGGTGAAAGTATTTTCATGTCTCTTGTCTACTGCATGTTGATCATGGAAGAACAAAGAAGTTTTGATGAGGACATTGGAATGCAAATGAAGCACTGCTATTCATAAAGAAAGGTAGACATATATACCGAGTTGGGAGCTATGAACGCGGACATAGAGATTTTGACCAAAAGTGTTATTATTTGAGATATCCACAAGCTCTCTGAACCAGTTCAGACAAATTATTGTAAGTTCATTGGTGACATTCTCATATGCATAAGCTGTACAGGAGCAGTTGCTGAAGCATCCAGATTCACAGTCGTTAAAACTCATTTTCCCTATGCTGACTGCATGATCTGGTAGCTTCACTCCTTCATATACTGAAAACATATCTCCCCTGTTGCAGCTCAACGTCTTAATTCTCACACATCCACCCGTCCAGTTCCCTGCACTCCATTCATTGTATGATTTCGGCTGGAAACCAGTCATACACTTGCACGCTGGAAAGGATACATTTGTCTTGCTGCAGATTGTAAATGGGCCACAGTAGCCATAAAAATCACATGTATCTCGAGGTAACTGCCATACAACTTTCCATGTATTTTGCGTCCATACATGTAGCTCAATTTGCCCGTGAGGAACCAAGGTAAACCGTGTGCTGATTGAGTTTATGGAGATACCATACAAAAGATAATCTTCATCATCTTTGACAACATAACTTATATATGCTGGAAATCCTCCATCCATAACTCTACTGCCAAACCTTCCATCTCCTATAAATCCACTACCATACGATAAATTAGTTGCATAGATATTGCTTCTCCAATACGGTTCATCCCCTTTCCAAATGTATACCTGATGCCGATGTGGATCTATCCCTAGTGAGAATATACCTGGTTGAGGATTCTCATCATCTACCCACGATGTTAGACGCATTTCTTGCCCACTTCTGGTGGAGCTAAGTTTCATGTCAGTCAAAAACGTGTCAGTCAGATGATCAAAACTATGCCACAGTTCATCTTTACCATGTCTAAGTACCAGATTCCCATTATCAAGTAATACTGCATCTGTGGCGTTTATGACTGACACATTTGATGTCCAGATCTGCTCTTTTCCACTTAAAACCACAAGATTCCCATCTTTAGAAAGCCTAAGAATTGATGGTGAACCTTTTGGAACTGGAGATGCTCTATTCGCAACCCAGATGACTGTTAGTTTCGGGATTGTGTTGTACCATATCCCCAGGTAGCTACCGGTAGAATTACCAGGACTGAAGAACCCTAATGCAAACGTACCTCCGGCTGAGATTATTGTTTGGTTGCTAGTGATGGAGTTGGTTGCGGTTATGGTGTTTTCACTATTAGAAAGAGGTAAGACAGAAAACGAGAGAATCAACACAAGACATTGTAGCCATTGCCATTCCATTGAAGGTAGCTTTCAATTCATGTGGTTTAAGATTCTATTTCTCGGTCTCTTATAATTCGTTCCCAATTCCCAGGTGTGAAGAAGAGAGTGAGAGGTGGTGATGACATACAGCAACGGTGACTTACTTGTTGACAAATATGTGATAAAAACAAATTTGAATTCTTGGTTCATCGATTAAAGTTGCATACATACACACGGATGATCGGAGTGTTCACAAAATTTTCAGGGATTAAAAAAATTACTATATTTCTTTTGCACTAAACTATAAATTCTTTCCGGGATAAATCTATTTTAACTTTTTTTTAAACTTCAAAATACAAATATTATAATCTACTCCTAAACTAATACCTAATACTATGGATGTGCGTTTGGACCGAATACCCGAACCGAAACCGAATCCCGGACCGGACCGACCCGAATTAGGACCGAATAAGTTATTTGGGTCGGTTCTCGGGTATCTATTTTTGCCCAATTCGGGTTTCTGGTTTTTCGGTCCGTGAATAGTCACTTGAACTGAATAACCCGAATAAACCGAAATGACCCGAACCGAACCGACCAATATTAATATAATCGGTCCGGGTTTCGGTTTCCACTTTTCGTCCAATTCGGGTTCGGGTCGGTTCCGGCCCGAAGCACATCCCTACTTAATACCACCTATGTCCACCACGAGACTTGAACCCTTTGTTAAAGATCATCACTAGCCCAATAGAACAAATATTATCTAGAAGACTTTAGCTTGTTCTAGAACGCTCTAGAAGATTCTAGAACATTATGGAAGACTATGGAAGACTCCGGAATATACCGGAAGAGTCTAGAATACTCTAGAACGACATGGAAGACCCTGGAAGGTTATGGATCATTCTAGAAGACACTGGAGCAACCTAGACCTCTCCAGAACATGGTAGAATATTCTAGAAACATATGGAAGCATATAGAGTATGTTAGATAGTTCTAGAGTTATCTAGTAGGTAGTAAGTGTATACTAGTATCTAGAACCTTCCTAAGAGGCCTATAAATAGGTGTGGAGCTCATTTGCTCCAAACCATCCAAGAAAGCCTCAAAGAGAGCAAAGTGTGTAGTAGTCTCACAAAGTGTAAGGTCTTCTTAAGTGTCTTAATAAAAGTCTTTTTGTTTCCCATACAAAGAGTCGTGTTCAACAATCTGGTATCAGAGCAAGGTTTCTTGATAGTGAGAACGAGTGATTCTCGTTGTATCGTGAGTAGTTTGTGACTCTGCAAGTTTAGTGTCGAAACTAGCTTGTTTGGTATTACCGAGGTACTGCCAACACGATGGGTGATCTCCAAGTCGTCGGAGGAATCAAGAAACTCAACAACAACAACTACAAAACATGGGAAACATGTATGAAGTCCTACTTACAAGGACAAGATCTATGGGAGGTCGTTGGCGGAAGCGAAACCACGCCTCCGGAGGAAGATGTTAATGGCGCTCTACGCAAATGGAAAATCAAAGCAGGCAAAGCAATGTTTGCCTTGAAGACCACAATCGAAGAAGAGATGTTGGAGCATATTCGGGACGAGAACACACCGAAAGAAGCTTGGGACACGTTTGTGACGCTTTTCTCAAAGAAGAATGATACAAGACTACAACTTTTGGAGAACGAGCTATTATCAATCTCACAACGTGACATGACGATTGCTCAATATTTCCACAAGGTCAAGTCGATATGTCGGGAGATTACTGAACTAGATCCGCAATCCGTCATTACAGAAGCTCGAATGAAGAGGATCATCATCCATGGACTGAGGCCGGAATATAGAAGCTTCGTTACTGCTGTACAAGGATAGCCCGTTCAACCATCACTTGTAGAGTTTGAGAATTTGTTGGCCAGCCAAGAAGCTATGGCTAAGCAAATGGGAGGCATCACGCTGAAGAGTGAAGAAGAAGCACTCTACACAAGTAAAAGTCGGAGAAATTTCAAGCCACCTTCTAAAGAAGGATACAAAAATGCTGACAAATGGAAGAGTCAGCCAGGAACCTCACAACCATGGAGATCTCAAAAGACCGACAATAAGAGTTCTCGGGGGAGGAGGTTCGAAGGCAACTGCAACAATTGTGGAAAGTGGGGCCACATGTCCAAAGATTGTTGGTCAAAGAAAAAGTCTGTGGAAAGCAATGTCGTAACTTCCAAAAAGGAAATAGAGGATGAATGGGATGCTGAGGCATTATGCGCCACAGAAGAAAACGAGTTGGCGCTCATGGCAATGATGGGAGAGCGTATCAACTATGAGAATGACTGGATCATTGATTCAGGATGCTCCAATCACATGACTGGTGATCAGAACAAACTACAAGACGTGAAGGAGTACAAAGGGAGTCGCATGGTACTTACAGCCAACAATGCACGACTTCCAATTGCTCAGATTGGCAAAACAACGATCATGCCTGGTAATAAATCTGACATGGTGTCACTACATAATGTCTATCACGTGCCAGGTATGAAGAAGAACTTGTTATCGGTATCGCAACTAACATCATCAGGAAACTACGTCTTGTTTGGCCCACAAGATGTGAAGGTCTATCGAGATCTTAAAATATCAGAAAATCCAACAATGGAAGGACGGAGAGTGGATTCCGTCTATGTTCTCTCCGCAGAGTCTGCCTATGTAGATAAGACTCGTAAGAACGAGACAGCAGATCTATGGCATGCACGGCTGGGACATGTTGGTTATCACAAGTTGAAGGTAATAATGGAGAAATCCATGCTCAGTGGCTTACCTCAACTTGAAGTTAAAACAGATGTTGTTTGTGCTGGATGTCAGTATGGTAAAGCTCATCAATTACCATACAAGGAGTCAAATTTTAGAGCAAAGAAGCCACTAGAGTTAATTCACTCGGATGTGTTCGGTCCAGTCAAGCAGACATCAATTAGCGGGATGCGGTACATGGTGACATTCATTGATGATTATTCGAGATATGTGTGGGTTTTCTTCATGAAAGAAAAATCTGAAACATTCTCAAAGTTTCTAGAATTCAAGACAACGGTCGAAGGAGAAGTGAGAAAGAAGATTCGGTGTCTACGCTCAGACAATGGAGGAGAATACACCTCGGAAGAATTCAATAGCTATCTAAAAGAATGTGGTATACGTCATCAATTCACATGTGCCAACACACCTCAACAAAATGGTGTAGCTGAGAGAAAGAATCGACATCTTGTAGAAATTTGTCGAAGCATGCTACACGCGAAGAATGTCCCAGGAAGATTTTGGGCTGAAGCAATGCGAACTGCTGCCCATGTGATCAATAAACTTCCCCAACCAAGGTTAGGTTTCATCTCACCATTTGAGACACTATGGAACATGAAACCTACTGTTAGCTACTTTCGAGTATTTGGTTGTGTCTGCTACGTATTTGTACCTAGTCATTTACGTAGCAAGTTTGACAAGAAAGCAGTCAGGTGTATATTTGTTGGATATGACAATCAAAGAAAAGGATGGAGGTGTTGTGATCCAACAAGCGGAAGATGCTACACTTCAAGAGATGTAGTGTTCGATGAAGCATCTTCATGGTGGTCCTTAGAGAAGAAAGTATTACCAGACTCGGAAAATATTGAAGAAGTTTTAAAACAAAAGATGGGGGAGCAAACTGCACACATTTGGTCAAGTGTTGATACACCTGAAGATCCGAGCGACACTGATGTCATTGAGCAAGAAGTAACTCAAACAAGTAATGCCGGTGAAAGGGAGACGCCGCCTCCACAACTTCGAAGGACGGAAAGAATCCGAAAGCCTAATCCCAAGTATGCTAATGCGGCTATTTTAGAAGACGGTGTTAAAGAGCCGGAGACATATGAAGAAGCAATTAAGAATAAAGCTTGGCAGAAGGCAATGGAAGAAGAAGTTACAGCCTTAAAGCAGAATCAAACGTGGGAACTGGTACCAAGACCAAGAGATATAAAACCCATTTCCTGCAAGTGGGTTTATAAATTAAAGCGACGCACAGATGGATCAATTGAAAGATACAAGGCTCGTTTGGTGGCTCGAGGGTTCTCACAACAATATGGATTGGACTATGATGAAACATTTAGTCCAGTGGCGAAGATAACTACTGTACGGGTGCTGCTAGCTCTTGCAGCTAGTAAAGACTGGAAATTATGGCAGATGGATGTGAAGAATGCTTTCCTGCATGGAGAATTAGATCGGGAGATCTACATGAACCAACCAAAGGGATTTGAGGATGCAGTTAATCCCACTCATGTGTGCAAGCTGAGAAAAGCTCTTTACGGATTGAAGCAGGCACCAAGAGCCTGGTATGGTAAGATTGCTGAATTTCTTACCCGAAGTGGTTATTCAGTTGCACATGCAGACTCAAGCCTGTTCGTCAAAGAAAAAGAAGGGAAGTTGGCAATTGTGTTGGTTTATGTGGATGACTTGATCATCACCGGGGATGACGAAAGAGAAATCCATCAAACAAGAGAAAATCTATCGGTGCGATTCCAAATGAAAGAGCTGGGGGAGCTTAAACACTTCTTGGGGTTAGAAGTTGATCGTACAAAGGAAGGGTTGTTCCTCTGCCAACAAAAGTAT